CACCTTTAGCAGGATGGTTGTTAATTAGGATTCCTAATTATAGTGGGAACATCCCTGGTACTGCACTCCCACCCAAAAGGAGATGTTCTGCCAAGCAAACTCTGTGTGAGCTCTTCAGGGATGCGGCAGCTCCTCATTTTCCCTTTGCACAGAACACGCAGGGGAGCCCTGGTACCAGCTGTGGCGTCTGAAAGATTAAGGAATAACACTGTCATTAGCAGCCAGGCTTGGCTGAAGTTTAATCCCGTCTCCTGTTACCTCACCAAATGGCTCTGGGCGATGCATTCACTTCTCAGCCTCAGTTCCTTAAAGCTGCAATAACAAGGACTTGCCTCACACAGCTGTAATGATTACAGGTGGTGCAGAACCAGCACGGGTATAAGTGGTAGCCAATGTTTCTGTTCTTTTCTGCTGCTGTTTATAAAAGAAATGGTCAAGTTGCACAGGAAATTAGATCCAAAAAGGAGAAATAGTAAAGGACAGAGGGATAGCTCAGGGTCAAATGCATAGTTTCTTTGGTTTTTAATGATGCTTTTATGTGTCAAATTGGCTCTACAATTAGGAGCCAAAAGAAACAGATTGTTCTAGGGAGAGGGCATGAGAAGATGAGAAAAGGGACATTGCTGCTGAGACCAAACTGAGGTCTTCAGCCTCCTGGTTTTCTCTCTATCTTATTCTCTTCCAGGCACAATCTGCATTATAGTGGTGTCTGATCTTTCAGCCTTGGTGCTGTGTTTCAGATTTCTCCCCATCCCCAGAAGATGTCATCCTACCGACAGATGATCAGCTCCCACTGCTTTACACCCTGCCAAGTGTCCTGCCCACAGCCCATCGCCAACGCCTGGAGCCAGCCCTGTGTCACATCCTGCGGTGATTCGAGAGCTGTGATCTACCCACCCCCCGTGGTCATGACCTTCCCAGGACCCATCCTCAGCTCCTGCCCTCAGGAGAGCATCGTGGGCAGCTCAGCACCATGCGGCACTGGGAGCTTCTTTGGATCCATGAGCTCTCTGGGTTCCAGTGGCTCCTATGGCTCCAGGAGCTTGTACAGTTATGGGAGGCCATATTCTTCCTATGGATCCAGTGGTTATGGTTTTGGGAGCTGCAGACCGTGTTAAATATGCAGTGAGGATGGCGCAAGGAATGATCACCCAACACGGAGGACTGTTACTGGCGTTGCTTTCCTGAAGCACGAACTCTGCATCTCTAAAAATCATACTTGCATGTATTTTTCAAGCCAATGATTCAATTTAGTTTTCTGACTATTCTTTCCTGTTGCTCCTGATAATAATGGAGTGAGTTATATTAATTGAAAGTGGGACAAGATTGTGTAAGTCTTCCCATGTCATGTGGAATGTATAGCCCTGGAGCAATTATTTGCTTGCAGCCTTTAATGAGACCCTGGCAATATTTTCCCTGTATTTTTCATTCTCAGTAAGATCTTCTACTTCTTCCTTTCTCATTAAATTGTTCTGCATCAAAACGTTGAGCTTTCTTGTCTGATTTGTCCACCAGGTTTTGCTTATATACCATCAATATAGCATCAATCCTTGTAGTGAAACAAGACAATGTTTGCTTTCAGCACTTAAATTTGACCAGGTCCTTTAAGCTGAAGAGAGCATAATGACTGCCTTCTGCACTAAAGGAATTTCCTGCTGGATAAACATGTTTTGTAACCCTTACAGCTAAGTTTGCAATTTCCTCCAGGACAGGTGTGGTCACAGTGTGGATTTGGTGCATGCTAGCAAAGAAAGTTAAACACACTTTGAAGATCTTCCTTGTGTCTCTCTGCTTGCCCGAGGCTCTGATTTAATGACATTGCTTTACATTGGGTTTATCATATTTTCCATTGTTTAAAAAGAGCATGGAACGATCTGTGGGTAGAACTTTCCTTTGGATGGCCAACAGGAATTGTCAGCTGAACGGCAAAACTTCACTGAACTTCTGTAAATTCTTCAAACTTTCTATTAACATCTCTAAATTCTTGGCAGCCCCAGTTAAAATAAATGAAAGAATCATTCTTAAGTCTTCCCTGCAGTGAAAAAATGTATCATTCAGGCCAAATAATATTTTCCATAATATTTTCTGCTCAGCACTTCTGCGTGAAGCTGCTGTTCCTGGGAATACCAGGAATGCACTGGTGCACCTCATGCTGTGTGAGCAGGCGGATGCCAGGCAAACCCCAATCTCCCACTGCAGAAATAGGTCTGGACAGGATCAAGTGTGTGGTGATCACTTCAAAGGGTCTGGAGGTGTGACTTCACTTGTAAAACTAGCTGAAATGAGATGAGGCTGCAGTGAGGTAGGCAGAAAACACCTCTTTCTTATTTGGATGTGTCTGGAGGCTTTGTCTTGGTTTTGTGCTCCCTCTGTCTTCAATGCCCTGCATGATTATTCTTGGAGTCACTAAGATGCTGTCAGTAAACCAGTATTTATTTGTGCATGTATCTGCAGCACTAAAGCAGCCAGTTCAGGGGTTTTCAAGACACATCTGATTGCTACAGAAATCCTCTTTTCAAAGTTCTAGTTTTCATCCCAGACAGATCAGTAAGATTACATCAACCCTCTTGTCAGCTCATCCTGCTGCCCCTCTGCACTGCCCTGGCAAGAGCTGCCAGGTCCTGATGCTGCAAGGAAAGGATGCAGTCAGATATCATCCAGTGTAGATGTTGTCAGCAAACCTGGATGGAGCTGCTCTGCCTACGTACTTGTTATAGGACAGAAAAGGCACATGTGAGAGCCAGAATTTAGAGCCTGAACTATAAATAGATCCCTGGAGTGTGTACTAATTGATGGATGGACTGTAATGACTTTCAACGATGCTAGAGGGCATAGCACTCCACAGCACCATTATTTGGTGAAGTGATCTGGAGAGATCACTTGAATATCACTTGATTACGGTCCCTTGGAAAGCAGGAGCTGCAAATTTTGCATTGCTCATCTGCCAGTCTGAATTTAATGTTATGAGCATAGGCCAGAGGCCAGAGCAGTTGACGGCACCGGCAACTTTGTCCCCTCTTGCTCCATCAGTGAAACAAGAAATACAAAGAACGGGAAGCAATAATAAATGAAATCACAGTGTCTCATCCTGAACTATAGAGGTCACTCCTCTCTGCTGTCTGAATGTGCTCTGAGCAGTGTTTATATCCCAGTACAAGGTAATGCTATTGGTAAATGAGATGCAATCAGAAGTTGATTCATAAAGATGTTGTAAACGTAGCCTGAAGAGTATGTCCTCCCCACGCACTGAATTCCAGCTCAAGACAGATATCTGTGGGAGTTAAGCCTTTCATGTTTGATTTAAATAGGTGGATTCGCTAAATATTTAGTCACTACCAGAGCCTAATGGTTTTTATGTGGTTCAGTCTCACACCACTGGTAAACAGCCTGCGGGCGCAATGGCTCAACATAACAGACCCAGAAATGTGCCCTGCTGAGCGCCAGCTTCCTTCCAGGGCCTGATTCTGGAGGAATTAACAACGTGATTGCTTGTAGTCAACCTCTTATCAGTTTTGTACTGACATAGATTACAGGCAGATTTGAACATTAACACTGAACATTCTCCCTGTCCTGATCTATGCCAGTGATCCTGACAGCAGAGACACGCAGGAGTGTTCCACCGTGTACTCCTTATCTGCTGCTGTTTTCCTCTTTTCCTAAAGGAGGGGACAGTAACAGTGAAAAGCAAACCTGAAGCGTGGAATAGAAAATTTGGAACAGAGACAGCTGCTAGGTGAGATAATAGAGAGAGGAATTCAGTCCTGGGCTTTGCCAAGCGACTCCTTTTCACCTGGGGAAAGCATTTACCAATATTTTAATCAGCATGGAAAACACAGCTTTTCACTCTCTGTTAAAGACGCCTATCTGTGAAAAGGGGAAAAGAGCAACAGTGCTCATGTTCTGCTTGTCTTGCCTATTTGCTCTGAAAGCACTCGAGGGCAGGGTTTGGCTTTGTTCTGTTTGCACAACACCGAACAGGCCTCATTGGCAGCTTCAGTACAATTTACATTGGCAATAGCACCAGAAGCTGAAGAGCACTGAGTCTCTGCTGCCTCTGATACCGCACTACTGTTATTTCTTGCATGGATCAGGGATCATTCCCCTTTCTTAGTGGGGTGGAAATGCTGATGACTGCAGGGAGGAATAGGAGCAAACTATTAGCTGCTGGGGTGTCTGGAGTTTAAACACTGCTGAGCAATGTCAGTGGTGTAGATTGAGCACTGTATCTGTGAATTTATAGGTGCAAATTTACATGTGCAAAGTGGCACCACCTTGGTGGCATTCGTGGTCACGCTGAGCTCAAACAGCACAATTCTCTGCTGGGATGCTTATGGCAAAGCCCCACTGAAATCATGTTTAAATAACAGGACTTAAGATATGGAGTTATTTTAAACTTTTCATATGTTCAAAGGATGGAAAGCTGCTATTTAGAACTGTCATTGCAGAAACATTAATGACACTGTGTAAATTCAGTCTGTGCTAAAACGCTCTGCGGTGCTGCCGCTCGCTGAGCAGCTTGGTCCTGCCCATGGGAAGATATCGCCCAGGGCAAGCTGAGGAAGGGAAACCAGAAGGCGTCTGTGTGATGCAACAAAAATTTAATGAGAAAGAAATGCTTACGTTTGCAAAGCAAGATATCACAGAATATGAAAAATCTGCTTCCAGAGAATATTCAACAAATGTCCCGCTCAGAGATTTTGATGTCCTCAGCTGGCTTTCTTCTGTCTGTTGTGCAGCTACTGATGAAGATGGTTGTCATTAGGAGGGATGTCCATATTGAATAGTCTGCTCCACAATGGTTAAAAAATGGGGAAACTGGAGCAGGCAACAACAGCAAACAACAAACCAGAAACCGAAGGGTGAACAAAACGTAGAAGAAAGATCAGAAATGCGAAGTGGCAGTAGCTCCATTGCAGGGCTGCAGGAACGCTGAACGCCCATCCTCACTGCTCGGTGTCTGAGCCCTCATCTGTGACTCTCCGGAGCCCTCTCTGCTGCCTTTAGCAGGGCCCGCAGTTGCTGCGCAGGAGGCGGCTGTAGCGGCGGGAGGAGTAGGGGCTGCAGTAGCCGCTGCCGAGTGTGGAGAGGGCTGAGCTGCCATAGCCATACTGGCCCCCATATCCCAGAGAGCCTCCATAACCATAGAGGCTCCCAGCACCGTAGAGGCCCCCAGCACCTTGGAGGCCTCCAGCACCGTAGAGGCCCCCCAGCCCCAGGGAGCCTCCAAAAGCGGGTACTCCAGAGGAGCCCACCACGGCCTGCTGGGGGAAGGAGCTGAGGATGGGGCCGGGGAAGGTGACGACAACCGGGGGTGGCTGGATCAGGGCTGTGGAGTCGGGGCACTGGCGGACGCACGGCTCATTGCAGCTGTTGGCGATGGGCTGGGGGCAGGCGATGCCGCTGGTGGTGGGACACAGGTCGTAGCAAGACATTTCTTTGCAGGGAGGAAGGCGGTCCTGAAACACAGAGCGGTATTAAAACAAGGCACAAAATCTACTGGGAGAGCAGTTCAAGGTTTGGTGCTGGGTTGTTGGCAAAATGATTCTCAATTGATGACGCTGTTCCCAAACTTTCCTGTCACTCAGCATCGCTCTGATCTTCCCCATCCAGTAATCCCTGCGCTTGTCACATTCGCCAAGCCTTCTGAAATTGCTGATTTGCATTCCCTATTAGAGGAACAGAGCATTGGCAACCTATTTTTTGTACTAAAACGCCAGCGCTAGTCCCTGGTGAACGTGGGTTGAAAGCCAGGAGCTGCAGAAGCTGCACCAAAGCTGACCTCCTCGTTACACCGAATGGGACAGAAGCAGGTTTGGACTTGGGAGGCATGGGATGAAGTGAAAAACTCAGTGCTTCTTTACCCACACCTCTCCTCCTCCTTTCCTTGTCCCTGTTTCTTTTCAGGCTCTTTGGGGTAATACACTTTCTATTGTTCCCATTTAGTTCTATACTCTTTTTCTATTCCCCCTGGTAAAAACCCCAAAAGCATTTGAGCCTGAGAAGAGATTAATACACTTGAGGTAAGAAATAAATATATGCTATAAAAGATGGAATCGAATCACTGAACTCAGTGTATCTGAACAGCTAATCTGGATCTGGATTTACAAATGGACGTATGACAACCACACACCACCAGTTTACTTCCCTTATTATTGTCTCTGGTAAAAAATAAGTAGGGTTTAAAATAAGCCGGATTTAGTTCTTACCCATCCATAAAAACTAAATGCAAGCTAGGATTATTTTGCAATAAAATTCCCATGAAGATAATGCTCTTTCTACAGCTGGGTCATTAAAGAGCTTAGGATGTGGCCCTGTCTCTTTGATTCAGTATGAACTGAAATGGTACAGCATATGCTTTAAAATGCCATCCTATATTTTCAACCTGCTAACAGTTCAAGAATGCCTAAATAGGAATTACAGTGAAAGAACTGCCTCAAACCCTCATTTTGACTCTTAAAGCCTGCCAGTAACACAGCTTGCAAACATACTGAAAATAATGAAGAAAAAAAGGAAAAGAAAAAGAATAAATAAATAGGCCTAAAAGCCCCAAAGTGGTAGCAGCAAAGAGGACTCCAAACTGCAGTGCAAAGGCATTTGGGCAGTTAGAGAGATACAAAAGGGCATCGGACTCACCTGATGCAGAGGAGCGTTCGCAGGAGAGGGAGATGGAGTGGATCCGCGCACCCGCTCCTTTTATGCAGCGCTCGGGATTGCCTGGGGGGGCTGAGACGCTGTGCACATGAAGTCATAATCACCAACCAGCCCAAATTTGAGGCACACAGAACTTCCCAAAGTGATGAAACTGTTTTCGCTCGCTGTTTGCAAAATCACCCTAAATCTCCGAATAGCACAATATGCACATTCCAGCTCCCAGGTCCCTTTCATCTTGAAGCCTAATTGACCAGCTTCGTTGCTGCTATCATTCCGCCCTGCTCGCTGGCATTGCAGGAGGAATTAAACTGGTTCTATTTATTTAACACTTCCTTCATTAACTTCCCGTAATGATTTTAATCAGAGCTCTAACCTGCTGTCACATACATGTTTGGATTTAAGTGCTTTAGATCTAGGCTATAATCTGATCTACTCACACATTTTGCAATGAAATGTTCAGTGAGGTGGAAGGTGCCTTCTGATCCTTCTCCCACTCACAGCCACAAAATTTGAGAGACGTCCCGTATCTAATCATGGACATTGTCTGATGGTCTTTGATTTCTCAGTTTCTTTGTGAGATTAAATGTTTCTGCATTCATTCAGTCTCTATCTTCTCTTTCTTTGTGTTCACATGCTGGAGTGTGATTTGCCTTCAGATCTACTTCATCTTACAGAGGATTTGAATGAAAGTTTAGCCGGAGGATGTTACAGACACCATTTTTGAGTGCTTCCTTCCCAAACTTACTGGACAAGCAGCAGGGAAAGCAATGGAATTATCTGAGAAATAGTTATTGAGGCAATGGATGGTTTATTTCTCTGTTTTTCTGACAAGCAGGACATCACCTGCAGCGTCCATACGGTTGCAAACCCCAAATTTGACTGCCAACAACTTGAAATGACTCAACCTTCCCCAATACTTAGTGGGGAGGGACAAGAATTTCTGCATTTCAGATGCTTACCTTCCCAGAATTGGTTTCACCCTCAAAACATCGTCATTTTGCTTTCGTTGACTGTGGAGATGGAAAACAAGCTGAACCGAAACGCCCAGCTTTTAAACAGGGCAGGTTTGCTGAGATGTGTCCCACCCGTGTTCCCCCAAATTTCCTCATTTACCTATGGATCGGTTGTTTGTTAACCAAGAAACACTGGGGTGTAACTGAAATGATGAGGTTCTTTCCTCCAGTTTTTGAGGTGGATCACAAGTTCAATAATACTCACAAAGAGTGTTAAAATATTTTATGTGTGTGTTTTTAAGCACTTCCCAAACACTCCTTAGTGGTTTATACACGCAGAGGTGTCATTATTTTATGTAAGTATGTGGTTGGATTCAGGCAGCTAAGCATTTTGAAACATATTTTTAACATTCTGGTGGTCAAGCACACTCTTCCTGTGAACTTCTCCAGCTTGTGATTTGTAACCCTGGGGTTTCAGTTGATTTTAATTTATAATTTAAGTTTTCATTTATTCGTTGAAGTTTACGTACAAGCTCCTTAGGTGCTGCCGTTGCATTAATTCACATCCCCTTCAGTGTCTGCAACATCTGCCTCCATCCTCATGTTTCAAAGGCTTTTCCTAGCACTTGCCCCGTTTAACTGAGCTGTCTTTTCTTGTGCTTTAAACACATGCTCAGCTTCCTAAAAAAAATAGATCTTTACCATTTACATTTTGATTTTCCCCTGAAATGTTGCGGGATGATCCTGTCCAAATGTGCATTGCAACTTCACATGAATGTTGCTGATTCCATCAGAAATTTCATGTTTGGTACCAATTATGCTTTATCTAGCATGGGCAAGGAGGGATGGCAGGAAAACCTGCATATGAAAGCAGATGGCAATTATGATTAACATTTGAGCCACCGTCATTATGTCGACCAATAAAAGAACTGGTAAATAAATGAAGCCAGCATAATTCCTCCTGTCATTCTAATGTGTTTAATGGAACGTTACCAGGAATGAATCTTGCCAATTAAGTGCTGAGATGAAAGAATATTTGTTTTGTAATTTGCATTTCGTGCAGCGTGAGAATTTGAATCAACTAATAAACATAAATATTGAGCAAAACTCTTTCATAATTTGGAGGTGAACTATGTGTGATAAATGTGGGCTGGTGCTAATGGGAGTCTCAGGTCCTCCAGGCACTTTGAGGGAACGTATAAAAGGTCCCTCCTCAAAACTGCCCTCTCTTTGCTTCTCTTGCCGCCTTCTCCCCAGACCCAGCCATTTGCTACGTATCAAACTATTCTTTTTCTGTAAATTTAAATGTGTTTCCGTTTGTCATTTAGGAGGAGGCAATGTTATATGCAGGCTTTAAGGGCTAAGCTAGTATTTTCCACAACGCATTGCCCAGGAACTGACAGCACCCCACAAGTTCATGTCTCAGGGTTATAATTTGCTAAGCAGATCCCAAACCCCAGCACAAACTGCTCTGTGCTCCTGCCCCACAAAGGCCTCATCCACAGCTGTGTTTAACAGAGGATGTATCCTCCTCATAGCTGATTATTTGGGCTTTCTGTTGCTGGTTCCAATTAGTTTGTACAGAACAAAGCCAAAGCTTAAAGGTGTAGGATAAGAGCATTTGTCTCAGGAAGCATAGGAGCTTCTATATTCTTGTGTTTTCACTAAGCAATGATTGACCATCAATAAAAAAATCATATTTTTTACAGGGCTTATACAAATTTGAGGAATTACATCCACCGCAGCAAGTAGATCTTGATGGTGTAGCTACAATTATGTGGGACAGATCCAGAGTTAAATTATTGTTGCAGAGGATCCAGACTGCTGCTTCTTTTCCATTTACATGAGACCTAAGCTTTTCTTCCTGTTCCAGGGGAATTTGTGCTGTGTTATGCTTGCCCTTAGTCACATTTCCAGTTGGCTAATTTGTTTCCAGTTGGCCAATTCGTTTCCAGTTGGCCAACTGGTGTCCAGCACCAGTGCCAATAGCAACAAGGAGCTGACTGCCCTGACCTGAGGGCAAGTGGCTCAGCCACCACCCATCATCATCACCTTGGCAGTTCCTTCCTTCAGGCCAGCAGAGCGGGATATCTGGCAGCACCCATACTTGAGGGCTCCTTTTTTAATGGGAGCTGTTCAGGCAGTTGGTACCGCTACAGATTTCCAGGTCCTGGCAGGGAATAGAACATCCCTTCTGGCGGTTGATTTGATACAGGATACCATTGTGGAAACTGTGCACCTGGAAGAGCTATTCAATTTACCAGTGGAAATTAAATCAGAATAAATAGGAGGAAGATTTATAGATTACTTTTTAGGGAATGAGTGCACTGGCCAGTTACAGAGAGCAGAGCTCGGTGTGCTCAGCGGCCCTTGCCTTCCTTCATATTCACTTCCTGGTTGAATGTTCTCTGAACATGGATATGTTACACTTAGCCATACTCCCTTCTGTAGTAAAATACGTAGCCTAAGATCTTTTGGCAGCTGAACTACATAAAGAAAACTATCTTGTGAGATAAGCATCTGTTTGAATCAGGAGACGGTTACATGCCTTACTGATAACCTAAAAAGATATGCCATGTATGGTGCACCGGTTTTGCTCGGTTTTAGGCTACCTATATAGTATTTCTGTAAATTCTATATAGAACTTAGACTCAGAGAAGTCCCAAACCCAGAAATGCAGTCAGATATACTGTGAAATTATGCAAATGGTCCTTGTCGTGGTTTTTGAAGAAGTGTCATCTGCACACAGGCAGAATTTTGGAGTGCGAGACATTTAATGACGTGGAACTAGGCTGATTTGTGCTAGAGAAATTCAGAATCTGAAATTCATTTATTATCAGTCACAAATCTTTCATTAAGAGCCATGGTGGTGAAATTACTTGTACAACGTTGGGTGAGAAATCTGCAGTGGAATGAGCAAGAGCTTAAATTTCAGAGTATGAGCGGTCATTTGGAATTCAAAGAATTCTCTCACAGACTCATGAGTCCAATAAAGTTGTGTGTAGAGAAGGCTGTTGTGGCTATGGCCACTGTGCTGTGACCACGTTGCTGCAATTCAGTGGTGAAATAGGTCTGGCAAGGGCTCCTTGTGGAGACTTTCCCTATGTGGGCAGGCTTTGCACAACGTTATTGCAGCCGTATGTACAACTTTTTCAGTGTTGTAATTTTTTTTATCCAGAAAAGTTGGCAAATTCAGAATGGATGAGAACACAAAACCACAGACTTATTTCAGATGATGCAACAGGATTTTAATAAGAATGGAAAGAACAAGAATACATTGCTTTATCAGGAATGCATATCCAAGATGTCAGAGTCAAATGCGTTTTCAAAGACACTCTTAAATGTCTCACTGCATTCAGGATAAGGTAGAAGATAACATGGATCTGAACCCATAAAGATATCAGGAAAGAATTCAAAGGAAAATAAAAGAAAGCAGTGTGCAGAAGGCATCACCCTGAACAGGATTTGTGAGTGCTTTCACAAAGCTGTCGCTCATCTGTTCAGAGGTGAATCTGCATTTTGTTTCGCACTTGGACATTATTCAGTGGATTTTCCTGTTGTGTTTAGCAGGGCCCGCAGATGCCACGGCCGTACCTGTTCCAGTAAGGGCTGCAATAGCCAGAGCCATAGGATCTACCATAGCCATACAGGCCCCTGTAACCCCCATAGCCACACAGACCACCGAAGCCATCTCCACCTATCCCATAAACGCCCCCCATAGCCATAGCCTCCATAGCCATAGCCCCCATAGCCATACAGGCCCCCAAGGCCCCCATAGCCGTAGCCGCCGTGGCCTCCATAGCCTCCATAGCCTCCATAGGCCCCGAGGACGGGTGCTCCAGCAGATCCCACAACTGCATCCTGGGGGAAGGAGCTGAGGATGGGGCCGGGGAAGGTGACGACGGTGGGAGGAGGCTGGATCACAGTGGTGGAGTCGGGGCACTGGCGGACGCAGGGCTCGTTGCAGCTGTCAGCGAGGGGCTGGGGACGGATGACACCGCAGGCAGAGGTGGAGCACAGGTCGTAGCAAGACATTTCGTAGGGATGGAGGGCAGCTGCAATGCACACTGATGAGTAAACGGAAGGCACAAATTAGATGGGAAAAACAGCTTGAAATTTGGACACATGGAATGGAGTAATGGCTTTATCTTTCAGATCGTGATTGTCCTTCCTTCTCTTCAGTATTTTTCATGCAGCATCTCTCTTTTGTAAAATCAGCGTTGTCCAGATTGCGCACTGAGCAGTCATCTCTTCTATGCTCTCATTCCTACTTCCTTATGCTTAGATTCTCTTAAAAAATAGATCTTTGTTCTACCCCACTGTCAAACACTGCGAGAATACTATCCAGCACTTTACTTTGCAAATAGTTTATTTTATACTAGCAAAACCAAAGCAGTTTAACCTGACAACCAGCAAAGCTCATGTGCTAAATTAATGGGTAGCTGGAAGAATAACTCTGGCATATTGACTTGTAACATGCTTCCAATATCAATAGCCAAAATCATGCTGTCAGTATGCCGTAAATGTGGATTAAATAAGGCATTTCCTGCTCTGATTTGATTGCAAAGTAGGTTGAGAGTCACAGGGTGGGTGAAAAGATTATTTGTCTGGTTTCCCAGATGGGAAACTGGTACACTCAGGTAACTAGGGCTAGGTTTCTACTGCAGTAAGTTCCTTCGCAAAGGTTGCCACCATAGGATCTGATCCAATCTAAAAGAAAAGCCAGAGAAGGACTAGGAACCAGTACCTTCTGTGAAGAGTATTTCCCCAACTAGAACCAATAAAATATTAGTTTAGAAGAGACTTCTGGAAGTCATCAAGTCCAACTCCCTGCTCAGAGCAAGAACAATGTAAAGGGCAGGTTTGGATTTCCCAGTTTCATCTCTGTTTTCCAACACTTCTTTAGACAATAGTTCTGTGTTCTTTCTAGTTAAGCTTGCCCCTCAACGAATACATACATATACATGGGCATGTATCAAAAGTTTACATGCAAAATCCTTAAAGCATTCATAGTCATCAAACAAGCTTTCTGCTGCTGTTCTGGGAGCTGGTTTGAGAGCTCAAGTTTGTATCACCAGGAAGCAACCACTTTTGAAAAACCTTTTCTTACCATTTCAAGCCCAAATACATGGATGTCCAACACCAAATAAGAAAAACAAATTCATAGCAAAATAATCCAACATTTTTAAGAACCCTAGAATACTTATGGATTATCGTTAATAGAAACCAGCAGAAAAGACATACGCGAATTTTAGGAAAGAGATCACGTAGACCGATACTTACCCTTTTCTCAAAGGAGAATAAAGCAAGTGAGGCGGAATGAAGAGCCCTGGGTTGGGAGAGTTTTTATACAGTTCCCTAGATCACGGGGATCATCTAAGGTGCAATTTGTGCATGTGCGTAATTGGGACAAACCCAAAACTAATGTGACACGTAGGGCCTCAAAGTTTTGCTGACGTTTATTTGTTGGTCTGGAGTCTCGTGCAATATGATAGGTGCGTTTCATCACAGCAGCCTCTTTCATCTCAAATGGTTACATGTCCTGTTCATTCCTGTTATCATTCCCCTCGCATCCTCGGCGTTACAACAGGAATTACCCTAATGCTCTTCCTTAGCGTCTCCATTATTAACGGCAAAATGCGGCTGCTCACCGCGTGGCTTTGGTCACCCGATGTGCACGGATTTTTTGCATTAAATCCAGGCTGTAAGGTACCTGGAGATAAAATGGAAACCATTAAGGCAACTTTGGGGTCGTCATTCTTGTCTTTAGCATTTGTACTCTCAGCTACTTAGAGTGAGAGTAATACTATGCCCAAAGGAAACCAGAGGAAACACTTGGTGGCCCTTAAATGCCTTTTAATCATTTGGCTTCTGCTCCTGAACCCAGTGCTGGCCTCATCTAATGGACAAGGGACTTGGGGAAATACCTCTTGATTTCCTTTGCTGGGCATTCAGCCCTGGGTTACTCTCCCTGTCCTTTTCTCAGTTGCTTTGGACCATCGTCCTGCAACCGTGGAAGAAGACCTGATGACTCTATGAGAAATCCTTCACACAGATAAAGGCTGATCATGGGTAGAATTGTAGCATCTCCAGAAAGTAACCAAATCCTCTGTTTCTCTGGTCTGATGTGCAACTGAAGATGATAAATCTACATCACAGAATATCACAGAATATTAGGAGTTGGAAGGGACCTTGAAAGATCATCCAGTCCAACCTCCCTGCCAGAGCAGGATCACCTAGACTAGATCACACAGGAAAAAAAAATCTATTATACAGCTTCTGAAATGCCATATTGTATTTAAAGTGTAGATTTCATTCTATATTTCTATATCGAAAATACCCGAAGGTGCCCAAATCCCCAGTATTCAACCATGAACTAATTACACCAAGGACACAAATACCTTGACTTACATATTTTAATCTGATGTCACTCCATAATTGCTAGGCACCTAAATCCAGGTACATGCCTTTAATCTAATTGTAAAAATGCATTCTCAAACCATTACTGGGTAGTTTGCGGCGTTTGAAAGACTTGTTCCCTGGAAGCTTGGAAATATCATTGAGCAAAAAAAACCTTCTAACCACCTCAAAGGCTGAGAAATCCGCCTCATAATTTAGAGATAATCTATGGCATAGAGTCAGCAGTATAAGAAATAACACATCTGTAAACAAGGGAAAAACCAGCCTTTGTTTTGCGTGGTGCATTCCAAGTTCATATTTGAATTGTTCCCAGTTTGGAGAAGCTGCCAGCTCAGCCCTGTTCTGGATTTATGGCTTGCAGCAAACCCAGTGTATTACAGGAGGGTGTGAATTCCCAAGAATCAAAGTCAATAATTCAAAGCACTTGTGTCCTACTTCACTTTTTGCACCACAGGATCCATTTGTCCTGAAAAAGCTTAGGTTTCCTAAGGCCCATTAAATATTCTCCAATACTATCTTTACACTGACAACATCAAACCCACAATACCTGGAAAAAGTCTCTTTGGGATCACTAATTCCTTTACAGCTTTGGTTAACTTCAGAAACTCATCCCATCTTTATATTTTAAAACCAAAAACAACCCCGGGAAGATAAAGACTTCGTCTTCACCTCCTATGTGGAGTTGTGCCGATTTATCCCCAATCTTCTTGCATATTGCATTGATAGTCTTTAACTTCTGTCACGGCAGGTTGTAATGTGAATTATACGTACTGAAACAAAAATCCTGTCCACAACAGCACTTTGTCATTCTGATAAACCCATGAGACACTCTCCAGGTGTGAACACAAGAGGTGCCGACTTCATAATTTCTGTTTTAATTTCAAGGAAGTGGCTGGACTAATGCCAGGTATTAATTTTCCCCAACAAGTCACAAGATGAAAGAATGCTCTGTAACCTAAAGTAATGTTTAGGTCCTGTTGCAGACAAATTTGAAAGGACTCATAAACTCCAATAACGAAGAAATTTCATCATCTCCGCGGGTTGCACGTGTCTGAAATTGGGGCGGGCAACCAATGCTGATCTGGCACCTCCAGCTGCTCCAGTATAAAAAGCTCTTCTCTCCCACAGCTCCTCCAAACACTTCCCTTGACTTCGTGGCGACTTCGTGGAGACTTGGGTAAGTCTGATTCTTCTCTACCAATGTATCCCTTTACTGCTGGTTTTAGCTTCAGTGGATGCCCACCATCCATGCTGTCGAACGTATTTGCATTGCTTTTGGACAGAGATGCTAATGCCAGCTCTAGGGTGACAGATGCACCTCTATGGTGCATGGGGCACTGTGGACTTCTCAGTGTCAGGGACACTGGGACTTGCATAGCACTGCCTTTATTTTAATTCTTTCCTATTCTTCCTAAGAACTCTGCTAAGGACTTGCAGGGCATGGTGAGTGGAGAAGAGTAAAATCATCCTTGGAGTAAATAGCTAAGTTTAGAGGGGAGAATATAGGCTGAGTTCTTGGGTTTACCAAAGAGTTCTGGTTTTTCCTGGGAATGATAATTTGAAATAAGTTTTCTGAAGGACATTAGGGACTAAACTGCTGGTTTGTATTGAAATTGTCCAGGCTGTATCCATACAGTGGTTGCATAGGTGGGAACTGAGATAATAATGTTACCATTTGTCCTTTATTGTCTTGTCAAATGGCTTTCTGAGCAATGCAGGCAGTGAAAATCCCATAATCTGTTGTTCCTATGACTCTCAGCAAAATTGAGATGAGTGAGAAGAAGCTACTGTAATTAAGTTACATATAAACTACATATAATCTCATGTAAACCTGCTGTACCCAAATCCAAGTTTTCCTACTGACTCATCAAATGACCTTGGACAAAGTCACTTTGCTTCCTGTGGTTTCGCTTCTCAGTTTTCAGTTTTATGTTTAGAAATATATCTAAGTTCATTGCAGGATATTCATGAGGGACACCACTTTCAGAGCTAGGCATAATGTTTCCCATGTGCCTTTCTATGTGTAGACATTTTTTAGAGGATTTTTCAAAAGAGGCTTATGAAATACTAAGAGAGCAAATTTGCAAAGTGAGGAATCAATTTGTTTACTCAAAACCCTGTACTTGACTCATTATCTTAATGTAAACTATTGAATTTTGAAGACTTCTGTGTAATCTAACCATCAGTGTGCATTGCAGCTGCCCTCCATCCCTACAAAATGGCTTGCTACGACCTGTGCTCCCCCTCCGCCTGCGGTGTCATCCGTCCCCAGCCCCTCGCTGACAGCTGCAACGAGCCCTGCGTCCGCCAGTGCCCCGACTCCACCACTGGGATCCAGCCTCCTCCCACCG